AGCATGTCAGTACGTCCCACAGTTTTGCAGGAACCCTTTCTCATTCCTGGCACAACATAAACTTGCACACTTTATGAGAACCACACAAGAGTCTGAGAAACTGCACAACTTTGCAATGAAAACCTATGCTTGCAGTCCTTTCACTGTGAACAGAAAACTCTGCAACTTTCTGAAGAAAACAACAACACCTGCACTCCATGCATTTGAAGAAGTAGACCAAGTCTATGAAAGTTTATGCTACAACATTTTTTTGTTGTTGTTGGCTACCTGTTAGTCTTAAAGGTGCTACAAAATTCCTTTACACACTGATATTCCAGACTAATATGGCTATGTCTCTGAAATATATTTTAGCTTAATTGTTTGGGTTTTGCCCTTCCCAAGCTACCTTCTAGCTTCTAGTGTTCATCTGACTTCTGTGGGGATCAGTCAAAAGAGTCTTCTGGGGCTCAGCTTCCTTTCTCAATCATTTGTTTCAAAATAACTGAGAACGTCTTGTTGGCATTAGAAAATTGGCTGTGATGGGATTATTGGCTCAGCTGCCAGAGAAGATCGCTGTGGCATCTGCAATGGAGATGGCAAAACCTGCAAAGTGGTGAAAGGAGACTTCAACCATACCAAAGGGATGGGTGAGTAGCAACTGGGCCATCTCAGCTGTCTGGCACATGAGAACTGTAATGCAAAAGAGCCTCTGCTTGCAAGAGGATGATGCATGCAACTCATTTTTAATACATATAAGAAATTCAACTTGATAATGGTAGATTAGTATTCAGTGTGATATTGCTATGGGCTGAAGCTGCTCAAAATCGAGTCTTCATTCATTTTTTGTAGTTACAGAACACATCAATATCTGCCCCATGGATTGTCTTTATCTTTTTCAGATTTCAAGCTTTTGACTATCACGATTAGAGATGGCCTGAAATTTGCTTGCTATGATTGTTCCCTGTTTTATCATCTTCTTTCACAATGTGCAGGTGCATAGTCCAAAGCACATGAGCATCAAGGCTGAAGATGAGTGATGGACAAAACAATTTGTGTGCAACTGTTGTGAAAAAATGAGCCTGTCTTAACCTGTGTCCTATAATCTTGTGTTATTTATTCAGATTTTCAGCCTCTGGTTTTTCATGAGTACAGTCCAATAGCAGTGATTTAGCTTGGTGCTATACATGGAACAATCTTGCTTGGAATTCCCAGACTTCAAAAACCCATTCTCTTCAATATTTCCCATTGGTTTCAACAGATGTCAATCAGGATTAATGTTGAGAGTTATGTCATTTCCTATAATGGTGTCCTATTCATGACTCCTGGCATGTCCCAGCATTTCTAAACTGGGGTACAGAAAGGATGTGAAATGACTTATTTCTGGGGGTGGAGGACAAGATTTGTTAGTTGAAATGATTAAAATGTTGTATGAAGGTAAACAGGGTGGTAGCAGTGGACAACATACAATGGTTCTTCCTTTTTTCTTTAAATAAAACTTTTTAATACTGTGAAAACATCTTTAGGAAAATGTCAGAAATTCTGGATTTTTAATCTTTTTCTATTCTTACTACTACTCATTGCTGCTGAACCATTCCCAGTCTCCTGATGGTTTTTACGCTGTGTATTATAATTTGTTGCATTTCTTGTTTTAATTTTTTAATTGGAGATGATCTTGAGAGTTCTAATTGAATTTGAAGACTGAGGTATGTTTTTTTATACAGAAAGATATATTTGAAGTTTTTTTATTTTTTAAAAAAAGCAGTTTAGCAGTTCTCCCATCTACAAGGTTGTGCCGTATATACTGATGACATCTGTATTTTAGGGTGTATTTACACTGCATGATGATAGCACTTTGCTACCACTTCTAAGTGCCATGGCTCAATCCTATGGAACCTTGGGATCTATAGTTGGCTGAAGGATTTGGAATTCTCTGCCAGAAAGCAGTATTCTACTACCCACTATAGTTCCTAAGGTACTCTGAGTGAATGTCTACACTACACAATTAAACTGATTTAATGCTCAGTCCTTTTTTCCCCCAGGATACCTTGGTGTCTACTAAGTAACTCAGCAAATGACAAATCCCAGAATTCATGCTTTGGCAATTAAAGTGCCATCAAACTGTTTATAATTGTGCAGTGCAGATATGCCCCTTGATTCACAGTTGCAGGCTCTGCATAAAGTTCACAGCTGGCCTTGCATTAGATATCCAGAAGCTAACTGCAGTAATACTGTGTAATTTCTGCACATTGGACTCAGATGAATATGCAAACTAACTTCAGGGTTCTGTTTTGGTTTTTGTAGGTAGTTGACTTTATGTAACTAAATCCATGCCAATTCCTTTCTTTTTCCCAGTATCCAATAGTCAATGTAAGAAGGTTTCTACCTGTGTGATGGCAAAGGCAAAAGCAGTCCCCAAGTGCTTCTCATGTAAGATGCCTGGTTGCTCTGTGTGGTGCTCTAGGGTAGATGCTCTTTGGTGCTGGGTCTCTCTCTCTGTTTAACAACATCATGTCGACAAAAAGCCTTTGGATACATTACAGGACAACTTGCTGGGGTTGCATATAAAGTAGACAAAGCACATCTTGGAAAATGCATATCCATGCTCCTGCATTGGCCTTTCTAATGCAGAGTTAGCTGTTTTATCCATTGTGGCTTCAGGCAGTGTGCAAAGATATAGTACATCAACAGACTAAGGGGGGTTGCAGACTGTCAGAAATAGTGCAAATTCAGTCCACTTTTAGGGTTAGGGTTAGAGCTAGGGAATCATGGGAATTGTTTTTTTCCTGAGACATTGATCCTTCTCTGTCAGAGAGCTCTGGTGCCACAATAAACTACAGTTCCCATGATTCCCTAACCCTAACCCTAACCCTAAAAGTGGACTGAATTTGCATTTTTTCTGGCAGTCTGCAACCCCCCTAAGTCTTTCTTCTCAGCAGCCAGACCACTTTATAGTCCTAATTGTAGTGAGTGCACCATCTATGGCTACTGAGATATAATTCTTTAGTTATTTCATTGTTTTTTCCACACATCTGGACAGTCTATGCAAAGCTTGGCATAGCAGAAATTTAGGGTGCATCCCAGTGATTCCCAGACTTTCGTCATCCAGGTTGCAATTTCTCAAGGTGTTGCTGGTGTTCTGTGGAGGCATATCTATGCAAGCCAGTCGTACCTCCAAAGAACACCAACAACACCTTGAGAAAATTCAAGCCTGTGACTAACATTGTCATTTTATATTTTTTTTTCCATCTGTATGATTCTTAACAATTTTGCCTGATGAAGAATCCAGTGGAGATTCAAAAGCTTGCACCATGTATTTTGTGCATTTTGGTTGGCCGATTAAAGATATCACCATTTTGTGGATTTTGGATGTTACTGTACTTCGCTGTATAGCCAACACATATGTTTCCTAAATATAAGATCAGCTTTCTAACCAAGCTGTCTACATGAAATGCTAGTTTGGAGGGAAAACAATTAAGGCTGCTGCCACACTGCAAAAATAAAGCGGTTTGACAACACTTCACCTGCCATGGCTCCATCCTATGGAATTTGGGGATAGGTAGTTTTGTGAGATATTTAGCCTTTCCCCATTAAGAGAGCTCTGTTGCACCACCAAAACTACAATTCCAGAATTTCAAAGGATGGAGCCATGGATGTTAGAGTGGTATCAAACTGTTTTATTTCTTGCAGTGTGGCAACAGCCTAAGAAATCGATCACATGGAGAAACATTCAACCATGTGGGTCCCCACTTGAAACCTGAAATGTTTCAATCAAGAAACAAGTCAAGCACTTTAGCATCTGAATCTTCTTGGAGCAAGAGACTATAGTTGCCCCTCCACCCTCACGGACTTGAGGTCTGTGGTTTTGACTATTCATGGAGGGGCGACCTCTGTTAAAATCAATGGGGTACGTGCCTATAGGGCTTGAATATTGGTGAGTCTCCATTTTTGCAGGGGGGGTGGGTCCAGAACAGATCCCCCGCAAAAACAGAGGGCCGACTGTATTTCATAACTGTGCTGTTTTGCTCAAAGTCCAGTTATTTGGCCTAGGAAATCAATAAGAGGAATGATAGGCTTCGAATGACAAGCAACAGCATTGCAGTTAGAGGGTTGGATGGACACATCTAAGGAGTGCTTTAGTTGTGTTTTCCCTGCATGGCAGGGGTTGGAATAGATGGCCTTTATAGTCCCCACCACTCTAAGATTCAATGATTCTGTGAGGTTGGTTGGTGAAGAAACAACATTAGAATATTATCCGGTGATGTAAACTAGGCATTTATGTATCAGAAAGTCCAAAGAGACAATCCAGCGTACTAGCTAATGGCTTTGAAACCTATCCATGCATCACAATTTTCTCCCAGATCATCAGTCTCGTAACTCGTATAAGCAGAGTATTTACTGAGCTGCATAAATTGGCGGAGAACCGAAGTATGCTAAATCTATTCCTACTAAAAAAGAGAGAGAACAAAATATTTTAAAGCCTCCTAGTTGATTTATGCTACTTGTATTAGTTTCTCAAATTTGGACATGGTTCAGGAACACTAGTGAAATATGGAGATTCTCATCTGCAGGTGGCTTCATTCAGTAAAAATTTAGCTGCAGTCAGTAAATAGTGAAATACCTTTCAACTTCTGGCTGCTCCTTCTATTATGTCTTGGTCCTGTCCTGAGCAGATCAATTTCCACCTAATATCATTGTCATAATTAGTACTATTTAATGGTTTCCAGAAGACACAGAAATAAACTGAACGTGCTATGGAGAAGGCAAGCTTCCCTTTGTCCAAGATGTTCCAACATCTGAGTACATTCTGGAAGTGGGAGTAGAATATAATAATAGTAGTTAAATTTAGCACCCTGCAGTTTAGGTTAAAACAAAAAAAGCAAGTTTCTAGTTCTTATTGCTCTTAAGAGAGGCACGAAATAATGCCTGGTGTGTGAAGAAACAAGGGCATCTGGTGTGTGGGTGGACTGCATAGGATTTCCAGTGGAAGTTGATCCATTGAGTAGCAGTATATGTATGAGAGAGACAGTGTGGTGTAGTAGTTTGAACGTGGGACTAGGACTCAGGAGATTGGAGTTCGATTCCCTGCTCAGCCATGGAAACTCAGTGTGTGACCTTGGGCAGGTCACACACTCTCAGCTCCAGAAAATCCCATGATAAAGTAGCCTTAGGGTCACTATGAGTAAGAAACAACTTGAAGGCACACAACGACAAACAACAACATGTGAATGAACTGTAAAGCACAAGAGAACGATGATGAAAATGTCATCTTAGGTTTTGTTGAGAATTTACCTGTGTATGTAGTGCATTTACTGGATTCACAACAGAATTAGTTTTCCTCAGTTATTGAAAAGCTAAAGTGTCCAGCCACTTTCCCCTCTAAAGGAATATGCTGGAAATTTTACTGTGAGATGTTTGCAAAAAGGCCAAGACCTTAGTCTTTCCACACATTCCACTGTAAGAAACTCAAGGCACATTTACAAGAGAAATGAAGCCACTTTTGGTTCTATCCAGGTCTTTAAGCAGAGGCTGGATGGCCATCTGTCGGGGATGCTTTGATTGGGAGTTCCTGCATGGCAGGGGGTTGGACTGGATGGCCCTTGTGGTCTCTTCCAACTCTATGATTCTATGATTCTATACCAGGGAGCAATATTGTAAGTATTGTCAGGCACTTGCTTGCCAATTCTTGCATTATTTCTAGAGCGTAGATGCACCCTCTGCCATCTAAAACTTGTTACTCTTTCAGGTGCGTCTAAACAGTTGATTATTGTTCGTTTTGTCTGGAGTTTTAATTAGATTTTTATTCGGTGGCTTGGCTTTCCAATCTAATCTACTCTTTTTATAATTAAAAAAAAGCAAGGAAGAAACCTATTTTTGTTTGGAATCTGAGGGATGATATCCATTTGGGAAATACTTGTGTAGTAATGTATTTTTTTCCTGGTTTCTTCTGCATGCTGGGAGTGTTTTGAGTACCTCTGAGAAGATGAATAATGTCATGCCACAAACATAGATGGGAGCTGGAGTGTCTCTAGTTCTTAAAATTGGTTCTACCTTGTAGGTCATGGGGACCTAGAGAAATATTGTTTGGGTTAAGTCTGTGCTTGTCTTATTTTCTTTAAAGAAAAGTTGAGATGGCACACTGTAGGTTTGGGGCATGTTCCAAAGTGTCATACTAACACTGGTGGAAGGGTACAATTGCGAGGTGTTTTTGTTTGTAGTAGTGTCTTGTAAATAGTCACTTGTTTTCTATCTGTTTGTTAGTCATTGTTGGTGGGGTGTCTGTGTCAATGCATGTGTATCACCAGGATAAATATATGTATATATACCATATATATGTCACTGAATGCAATGCAGCTTTAATGCTTTGAATCCAGTATCAAAAACACCAGCACCAAGCTATATGTCAGGCATCTGTTTGCTTTGATGCATATATATTTAATTACATAATGGTGGTTTAAATCAGTGGTTCCCAAAATCTGGTCCTCCAGGTGTTTTGGACTTCAGCACCCAGAATCCCTGACCATTGGCCAAAGTGGCTGCGGCTTCTGGGACCTGCAGTCCAAAACACCTGGAAGACCAGTGTTTGGGAACCAATGGTTTAAATCAACAAAGTACCATGGCCACCACTACCATATGCAAGACAATGACCAGAACAACACGCTTTGTGAGCACTGAAGTGCTGAATCTATCTGGCTGGATGGCCTCCATAGTAGGCTTCATTCCGTTTCCTACTGCCCTTGTGTTTTTAGTTTTCCCTCAGGGTGTGTCAAGCCTGGTAACTGAGGAGGAGGGCAGAAAATGAAAAAGGTAATGCACTGACCCTGCATGGTGAAGGTTGCATCCACCTGCAGAAATAATCTGGGTTGATGCCATTTTAACTGCCATGGCTCCATCCTACGGAAGCCCTGGGAATTGTAGTTTGCTGTGGCACCAGAGTTCTCTGACAGAGAAAGCTAAATGTCTCACAAAACTACAATTCCCAAAGCATTGAGCCAGGGTAATTGAAAGTGATGTCAAGGTGGATTATTTCTGCAGCGCAGATGCAGCCATAGTGGTTTGAGCATTGGGCCGTGACTCTGGAGGCCAGGGTTTGAGTCCCAGCTCAGTCATGGACCTAAGGGGTGACCTTGGGCATGTCACACACTCTCAGCCTCAGAAAATCCCATGATAGGGTCAACTTGAAGGCACACAACAACAAAATACACTGGCAGGTGTGGAGATCTAGTAACATCCCAAAAAAAAAATTAAAGGACTTGGGAGAGTAAGAGGAGAACAAAAATAGAAATGCTCATTACACTGGAGCCCATAGGTCATACCTCTCTCAGTGTTAACTGCTGAAATAGCTTTCTCTGACCAGGTACAGAAAGTTCATAAACAGACTGTATTAAAATTGATCATAGCTTCTGTCATTTTCACACATATATTTTTTTTTCCTCCCTCCTCTTCAGGTCAAGGTTCTTGGCACAGAAATTTGCATAGCATAGATCACAAAATTTCAATTCACATTATTATTATTATTATTATTATTATTATTATTATTATTATTATTATTATGTCTGTATCTGAACTGCAAGGTTCCATGGTCTTATTTTCCCTGTTTAAATCCTCTTTGAGGAACTCTGACCCACGTATTCCTTTTCTTTGCCCTAGGCTATATTGAAGCAGCGGTGATCCCTGCTGGAGCTCGAAGGATCCGTGTGATGGAGGATAAACCTGCCCACAGTTTTCTTGGTAAAAAGGAGAGGGGGAACTGGTGACTTGATTTAATTCTTAACCATGTGCTCTGATTTTGTGGCTGGTCCAGATCTTTTGCCCTGCAGCAACTATCAGCTCTAGTTGGCATAGGCAATGGTGAGAGATTATGGCACTTACAATCCAAAAAACATACAGAAGGTCACTCCTGCTTTAGGACAATGGAAGTGATCTAGGGAAGAAGTAATCTCTTGTTGGTGTTGTAACTCATGGCGACCCTGTGGATGAGACATCGCCAAGGCTCCTGTCCTCCACTGCTCTGCTCAGGTCTTGTAAATTCAAGTCCGTGACCTCCTTGATAGAGTCTATCCATATGGCATGTGGTCTTCCTCTGTTTCAGTTGCCTTCTACCAAGCACTATTGTCTTTACTTTGACTCCTACCATCTCGTGATGTGGCCAAAGTACAACTTCCATTTCATCATCTTTGCTTCAGAGAGAGTTCAAGCTTGCCTTTTTGGCCATCCATGGTATCCCCAGCACCACGTCTCAAATGAGTTGATTTTCTTTCTTTCTGTCAGCTTTCTGTCCAGCTCTCACATCCATACATGGTAATGGGGAAATATAATGGCTTGGATGATTTTGAGTTTAGTGCTCCGCTGTATATCTTTGCTCTTTAGGATCTTGTCTAGTTCTTTCATGGCTACCCTTCCCATTCCTAGTCATATTCTTATTTCTTGACTGCAATCCCTATTCTTATCAGAACAAGTTTTATTGATTAGTCGTCTGACCGTATCAACAATAGAATACAGTATTTCAAATACAAAATACAGAATACAAATACAAAATACAGCATATCAAAATACAAACAATACAGTAAAATAGCTCAGCACCCTGCAGTAGCTTTCTCTTGATAATGGGACTCAAAGTGGCGAACAACATACTTTGAACTATACAAATGAAATACAAATTTAAAAAATACAGCTTTGTTGTTGTTGTTTAGGGTATTAAGGTATTATTATAATCTCCCG